AAACCTCTCCTGTGGGAATCTAGTACGTCATCCAGAGCGACTGTTCTTACAGTCAGAACTTTTTAAAATACTACCTTGTTATCGAAAAAAAAAATTAAGGTAGCCAGTTTCTGTCAATCACTTTTTCCTTTAACCTGTAACAACACGTGAGGGTCAGATGCTGAAAGAATCCTCCCTGTGCAGTTATCCTCAAAGCACCGTCAGCAGGTGGAAACCGAGATCGAATTCTGATGAAATTACAACAGCTTCTTGTACACTAGAGACTTTGCGCTCACGTTATTTAACAGAGACGACAATAACAAACATTAGGTACTTAGATAGACATATAGATAGATAAACGGTTAAATAGATAATATTTTTTGCACTGCTGACGAGTATTCAAAACTCTGGGGTCGGTGTTGGGGTGGCTGAAAAGACCTCAGTGTGTTTCTCCTGTTACTGAACGAGCTTCCCAAATCTCTCCAAAGCCATTGACAATGGCCGGTGTTTGCGGTGCATGAAACCCATGGTTTACGGATGAAGTGTCAAGGTTTGGCCACTGTCTCTACTCTTCAAGGCACAAGGACAAGTTCCAAACTCTTCGGCTCACGTACAAGAAGCCGAGCATCTGGTACCACCAGAGACAGAAAGTCTCAGAAGAGAAGCCACACGCCAAGCAGGGGCGGGAGACCCTCTGCGGTGGCCGTGACCTCGCGGCATTAGCAAGCAGCGTCCCCACCCTCGGGGCTGGGGACAGGCAGGTGTCCTGGCCGGAACACCTTGGCACGCTGCACGGCGAGAGCACGCTCCACGCCTGATCTGGCGGTCAGCTCCCCCGCCCCGAGCGCACAGAGAACGAGGCCCAGGACGTTTCCACGGAGATCCGCAGCGACGCAGATGTTCCGCCGTGCTGGCAGCGAAAGGTCAAGAGCGAAAGGTCAGCAGCCCTCGATAAAAGTTGGCAGGGAGGTGACACCTCCACGGACACACCCGTCACTTCACCAGCAACGGTCTGCGCACGCCAAGGAAAAGAGAACCCACCCCTGTTATTCTCGTCTTGCCACCTCCCTCAGCTCCTCCCAAAGAGGCGTGTATTAAACACCTTCTGTATAACTTACTCCCCGCCATGAAACTTCATCGAAATGGAAAGAATCCAATTAATTCTTCCTTTTTTTTGCTTAGAATATTCGATTTGCATTTACTGAGAGCCCATTACATTCCTTTGGCAGGAAAAGATACCGCACTTCTAAAAATGCACCCGCGCGTAATTAACCCGCAGCTACCACAGGCAGGGGCGTCTCTCACTAGGGTGTGTGTTTTCTGAGGAAGCCGCCGCGATTTCACCTCTATTTCGCAGCCTGTTGCCGCACTGCTGCGATATTTAGATGCAGAGGAAGACGTCGGTGGCCGCAGCCGCGAGCGGCGCTGCGTCCGCGCTCAGGCCTTCATCGTGCAGATGGGGACCACGATGACGAGGACCACGGTGCAGGCGGCCGCCGCGATGAGAGCGGCCATCTTGCAGACCTTGGCCCGCCTGAACTCAGCTTCTTTGCGTTTCAGTAACGAGTCGTAGCCTGGAGTATAAATATCTTCCATCCAATATTCCAGGTTGTTCGGGTTTAAAGATTCTTGTGTCTAAAAGCGAAGAGAAGATGTTAGAGGCACGGCGAATACTCGATTCTAAGTCAAAGACACTGACAGTCGCCACTCCCGAGACACCTAAGACGTGTCTGCCGCCGGGGCTGGGCAGGGCGGTGTTGCAGGACACGGCGCCGCGTCCCCACGCCACGTGCAGACTGCGCTGCCCCCTGCCCCCACCGTAAAGGCCATGTTGGTTTTGACACAGGGACACCCAGGGCCTTCTACCTACGGGGCCGGGACACGCGAGACTCTAGACTCCAAGGACGTTCAGCCCGAACAGGCCGCCCCGCTGCAGGGGAAACAGGAACGTCACTAGAAACATCCTCCGCCGACAGGCGCCGAGAACCAATGTGCCTGGAGCAAGGCCGTCGTGTCACTCTGAACCAGTTCTCCCTTCTCAGAGAAACTCCACTGGAAATCAGAGTCACCCCAAGATCAGCACTTCAAACAAAACATCGAATATTTCGACCTCGAACGTCCATCTGAGCAGGTCAGGCCGCTGCTCCCCCGAGGCCTGCCGCGGTGATGCGTCTGGACTCGGGGGGTTTCCCCAGGAAAGGTCCCCACGGACATCTGTTTCCTGGTCTCCCCGAGACTCAGGAACGGTTTGCAGGAGAAATATCACATTTAACCCGCACTGCCCGTGAATCCCACCCCACGTCGATGGTTAGACTCTATCTCCGCGAGGAAAGGCAGCGTTCTCATTTATGGCAAAGCATTCGATAACGCGTCACGTAAATGCAACCGCACGTTGCAATTCGAAGAGAGGCCACCTACATCTCTAACCGCAAACAAAATACCCATTTTGTAGATTTTCTTATGTTGTTTAAGGTTCACAAACACGGACACGTTAAAAATCACGCACACAAATACAAGCAGACTCAAAAAGCAAATCCTTCAAAACTTAAAAAAAAAAACCTTAGTTTAGCGTGTTATTGGTGGAACAGCGATGATTCTCCGCCTACCCTTCCAGATCCGTTCTCTGGTCTTTCCCGCTTGGCCCCGTGCCCCCAGCACGATGACCCCCGTGAGCACACCACAGGGGCTCCCCTGCCTCCCGGCTCCCACGTGGGTTCGGCCAGTGGGGTCAGGAGGAGAGAGGCCGAGGTTTCCTTTCTGCCGCCCCCTCCCTCTGGGCTGCGGTGTGGCTGCCACCGTTGTGGGCACTGCTCTTCCCATCCAAGGACGGCCACTGGGGCTGGTCTCTGGCTCCTGTGGGCCCCTCCACCCTGCTCACGCCACCACAGACAGTCCCCTCCTGACACCCCGCGTCATCCTTTTTCTGCGCCACCTGCCGCCCAGGCCGGCACCCCGAGGGCAGCCACGCACTCCCAGCCGTGCTCCTCTCCCAGCGCCAAGAGTCTTCCAGACTCGACCTGCCACCTGTCTTTGCACAGCCCTGGTACGAAGAATGGTTCTTCGATTTTTAAGTAGTTGAAAAAAGGTCAAAAGAAGAAGATTTCGTGATGTATGAAAGTTATAAGGAGTGCAAATCTCAGTGTCCGGCAAAGCAGATTTATCAGAACACAGCCCTTCACATACAAATTGTCACAGCTGCTTTCCAGCTGCAACGGCAGACTGAGCAGGTGTGAGACTCGCCGGGGCCTGGAGCACTCCCTGTCTGGCCTGGAGCACTCACTGCCCTGGAGCACTCACTGTCTGGCCTGGAGCATTCACCATCTGGCCTGGAGCACTCACTGCCCTGGAGCACTCACTGTCTGGCCTGGAGCATTCACCATCTGGCCTGGAGCACTCACTGTCCTGGAGCACTCACTGGCCTGGAGCACTCCCTGTCCGGTCTGGAGCACTCACTGTCTGCCCTGGAGCACTCATTGCCCTGGAGCACTCACTGGCCTGGAGCACTCCCTGTTCTGGAGCACTCACTACCTGGCCTGGAGCACTCCCTGTCTGGCCTGGAGCACTCTCTGCCCTGGAGCACTCTCTGCCCTAGAGCACTCACCACCTGGCCTGGAGCACTCACTATCTGGCCCTTTACAGAGCAAGTTTGTCGGCCCCTGTCCTAGTACCTGCCATTCCCCACGGCACAGTGGAAAGAGAAGGGGACCTAGGGGTCCCTAAAACTCTCCCAGTCCTCTTCCACACTGAGGAATCACATCCAAAGACTAGTGTCGAATTTCTCAAGTTACCTGGAGGGGTAGAAGGCATTGGCCACTCAAAACACCATGACGGAAACACAGACATTCTCAGCGTGGAAAAAGTCCTTGACGTGGGGGTGCTCGGTCCAACCCGCCAGCCTGTGCAGAAACCCCAGCTCCGGCATCCTCTGCGGGAGGCCCAGGAGCCTCCCCGTGCTGCCCAGCTCCGGGTGTCAGAACGAACGTCTGTCCTTCTGCTCACGCCACAGCCCTCCCCACAAAGCTCCGCCCACCGCGGGCACCTGGGGCCAGGCTGCTCTCCGTGGCGCGGAAGCTCTTCGGCAGGCACGGACACTGGGGAAGGGAGAGGTGGACTCGGGCTGGGGCGCTTGGCTGGGAGCCCGGTGCGCGGGGTGACGACGTGGCCCGAGGGCTGCCCCGGCGCGCTCTCTGCCCCCCGCCCTGAATCTCCCCCTCTTCTTCCCAGTCTCCCCGGGCCGGCCCAGGAGGCAAACTGTGTGAACGACTCATCGGATTTCCCTCCGGCTCAGATGGAAGGAAATTGGCTTCCTTTCATAGCTGTAGCCACGTTACTGTGGGCTGGGATTCAGCCAGTGAAATAAACATTTTTAATTAGTTTTTTCAATAACTGCAGCCCCTAACGGCACCAAGCAGCAGAGGGGTAATGCAGAGGTTTCAGGGGACACAGGCGAGCGTGTACGGTTATCTATCAGGCTGCCGGACGCTGGAAACAAACCCAGGGCCTGCGCCTCTGCCTACGCCCCCAAATGGGCACCCCGGAAGGTGACCTTACATCCAGGCACCAAGGGACCCCCGGGAGGATGGTCCGGACACGGAAGGTGCCTGAAGATGGTCCCCGAGTGTCTGCAAAGAGGTGAACGCAAACTCTGGCCAGGCCCGCCCGCCCGCAGGAAGGTGACGGAAGGGGGTGGCCCGAAAGGATGGGGCCGGCAGCGCACTTGGGGACGCCAGGCACGTGAGTGAGGGGTGAGGGGGCTTGGGCTGGCTGTCCCCGCCGTGCCCACCACCCCGCCAGGAGCTGCCCCTTCCCATCGTCGCTGCCATTTAAGGCCCAAGACAAACGAATGGCGCTGGAATCACTTTCTGTGACCCGGAGCCCGCTCTCAGGAAGAAAACGAGACGGTGCAGGGGCGGCAGAACACGGGACTCGACAACGGTCCAGCACGAGTCCGGGCTTGCCGACCTGGGCGAGTCACCGCGCTCCCCGGGGCGCCGATCTGCAGGCTGAAGACGGTCGTGACCGTCCTGCCTTGCAGGCCGCGTGCCGAGAGGCCGCTGAGAGCCACGCGACGCCGGCCGGTCCCAGCACCACCCACCAGCCCGCGAGCGGCCTCCTTCTCCGCGCGGGCTCCGCGCCAGGCATGTTGTCGCAGTTTCAGTTCTCACGACGACCCCGTGCGCTCGATGTCACGCCCACCTCACGGGTGCAGGACGGGACCTCAGACAGGCAGTGCGGATGCCGCAGGTCACACAGCAGTTCCTGGGTCAGAACCCGGAGCCGCCAGAATCCCAAGCCCTTCCTCTCCCCACACCGCGCCTCCCGCTGCTCTAGACATAGGCCGTTTCGGGGGAGCCCTGACACATCGACCCCCTCGGCAGCTCCCGCCATCTGTGCTTCCGGCGCGTGGTCGTTCCGGGGCCTGGCTGTGCCCGGCTGCCCGCGAAGCTCAGCCCACAGGTGGGGACAGGGTGCTTCCCTTGCTCCTGCGGTGACGGTGACGTGGAGACAGAGCCACTCGGAGCTGCCCATAAAACAAGTGTGGGAAAGCCCAGCCCTGCCTGTGAGTGGACAGCAAACGCCCTCCGGCCACAACTGCACTCCCAGAGCTGCGGGGACGGCTCTTACCTGGGGCTGCTCCGTATGGAAACATAATCCTCAGCTCGGCTCCCACAAACATGCTCATCCCACGCGCTACACACGGAAGGAGGGATCAGCCCGTATTTCATTGAACAGTTCAGTTCAGGGCTTGTGAGCAAATAATAGAATCTGCGCTTGGCACGGAGTCTTAGATGCATCGTTAGCAAATCAGATGGCAGTAAGTAAACAAGTAAATAAACACGCAAAGGATCCCCCCTGCTAGATGTCTACAAACAGGCAAAACCACAATCCCTGGTTAAAAGTCTCTCCTGCTCTGACTGATCAAAGTCCAGAATTCTGCGGTGGGGACCCAGGGAGTTGAAGGCCGAGGGAGAGGCTGGTCTACGCCATCGGCGACCCGTCCCTGCGTTTGCCTGGGCGTGGCTGGGCTCCCCCCACCCCGGGACAGCGAGAGGCTCACCTGCAGGTCCAGGGCCGCCAGCTTGCCCTTGTCGCCCGTGTTCCGCGTGTACTCCTCGATGGTCCAGGAGGGCTGGCCCCGCTTGACCTCGGCCCGCTCGGTCAGCCGCATGTCCGTGTACAGGGGGTTGCTCTTCGCGTGCGCCTTGAGGGAGGCGGGGTAGGGGTGCGGGCTGAACACCTGCTCCACCAGGAAGCCGTCTTTGGGGGGCTTGGGCAGGCGGTGGTGCGAGGGGATGTCGTACTGCCTGTCGGCCTGCAGAAGGGCACAGAGAAGTCCGGGCAAGTGGCATGGCTGCCACCGACGTCACAGCGCGACTGGGCGGCCAGCAGCTTTTTATCACTGGGCCCTGTGGACACGTAGGTAGCAAAACGCAGTTATTTACAAACAGAAGGTACGGAATACACCGGTTGGGGAAATTCTCTAGGAAAAGCTTGCGATCACGACAGTGCTGACATGAGCTGACGCTTCTGCCCCAGGAAGAGGTTCTTTCACCTAATCCTCACGCCATCACCGCCGCGATGAGCTCCCATTGCACAGGCGGGAAAGTGGAGCCCGAAAGACGCAGTGAGCTGCTCGGAGCGCACAGCCGGGAGGGCTGGGCCTGGGAGTTAAACCCACCACCCGGACAGGGAGTCTTTGCTTGACTGCTGGTCCCGATGCCCTCGTTCTTTGGCCGTTCACGCCTGGCACCGGCGGATAGGAGACAGGTCCCTCCCTCCAGGAGCCTGCCGCAGCCCTGACAGCACCTGCCTCTCTAGAGGGTGACACCACGCCAGAGCAGGTGCTGGGACTTCCCCAGGCGGCAGGTGGGCCCCTCTCAGAGGCACCCGCGTGGCCTTCGAGATAAGGGGGCAGTGGGGACGACCGTGCAGGACGTAAACGGTTATCGCCCAGCACATGTGGCAATCGTCACGTCCTCAGTCCCAAGTGAGATGCGTCCCAAGGGACTCTGTCCCCAGCGAGCCTGTTCTAACCGGTGTCTTTGGAGACCTTCTAACTCCAGGCACCCAGATCTGCACACCGGTGCTACTTCCTCCAGGAAGTGCCTCGACCCACGCGGACCGGCTCAGTGCCCGTCTCCGTGGCCCCTCGGGACTCTGTGCAGACCCGTCAGCCAGCGCGGGTCACGCTGCTCGGCCACCCGTCTCCTCCTCCACGGAGCTGGAGTCCCCGAGGGCAGGGGCTGCCCGCCCACCTTTTAACGCTCTGCTCCAGCGAAATGGTCCCGCCCAGTAGAGGACGCTCCGTCGGTGCTCACCGAAGGGACAGAAACCAGCGACAGGAAGTCGTACATGTGAAACAGAGAGCAGAGCAGCTGCATGTGTGAGTGACACCAGGAGAAACAGAAGGACGTGGGTCGAGGCTCGTGCACGTAAGGGAGGGAGGGTGACCTCAGCAGGGCTCAGGAGAGGAGAGTCGATGTGTGAGAACAGGACGCACATACGTGTGCGTGTGTGCCAGTGTGCGCATCGAGCGTGTGCGTGGAGCCCGGACGCACCTACCCGCCCGTGAGCAAACCCCACCCGTCGGCATAACATTCGGCTGTTCCAAACCACCCGCAGGCCCACACCGGCGCGGAGAATGCAGGTGAACTCCGCCAGACCCCCACGAGCAGATGCGATTCCCTCGATTTCTACCTCGTCAAAGCCAAGCACCCTCTAAGGATTCGCTGATTCCACTTGCTGTGCTCGTCCCCTGCAGGGCCCGCACCCAGCCGGGGTGGGGACAGGGTGGCAGCCACTGCCGGGTCATTACAACTAACCGAGGGCTGATGGCGCGTCCACCGCTGCTCAGAGCCGGGCAGGCAGTACCTTGTCCCACCTCATCAGCACTCTGAGGTCGCAGCTGTTAGTATCCCCGTGCGGGTAGGAAAACTCAGGCCAGAGCCTGACAGACTGACCCGCTGTCGACCAGCGAGCGGCAGAGCCAGGACTGGCATCTGTTCTCACTCGTAAGACAGAAAGTTCATCGCTGCCCACGCCTGTTCCAGCGCTGAGGAGTCGGGTTCTAACTGGGCAGGCAGTGTTTATACATATATGTGTGTGTGTGTTTATATATATACACATTTTAATAAAAGTTTGTGTCCACTACATCCGAACAAAGAGACTACAGGCAGATCAGCGATGATCCCCGGGAAGGACCCCAGAGACGTATGAACTCAGAGGCCCCGGGGGGAACGCAGGACTTAGGTCAGTGCAGGGAGGTGGCCCAGACGGCCTTGGTGGAAGACTCGGGAAGAGAAGTTCGACAGTGGTCTACAGCCTGGCCATGACAGACGCTCACCTATTAGGTACCGAATGAATGACTCAACGCGTCACCATAGCTATTAGCGTCTTGAGGGAAGACAGGTGGACTCGTCAAGGCAGAGCAGACCCAGTCGGGGTGCACAGAGCCTCCCTGGTGGGGAGAGGTACGTGAAATTCACGGGGCTGGCAGGCCTGGCGGAGAAGGTTGGAACTTTCGCTGCGTAAAGGGGACCGAGGAAGAGTTGAACGTAGGAGGCTCCGCAAACCCGCGGAGAGCGGAGTTTCAGAAGGTGAACGTGGCCGTGGCCCATGAGGGGAGACGGAAGGTGGCCAGTGGCCCAGACATCCCAGGTGGTCTGTCCCGAGAGCCTGGCCGTGGGGGATAAACCCACAGGGGTAGGAGCTGCCCTGGGCAGGAGGGAGCCAAAGGGGGACGTCGAGGTCAGAGGGCCTCTTCGGCCGGGGCTCGCTGGAACGGCAGCCCCTCTGCCCAGGCGCGGACGTCCTGAGAAGGCGCCGCCGTGGAAGGAGCAGGGAAGTCTGGTTTGGGACCCGTGGACTTTGACAGGTAGGCAAGACTTTCGGGGGACCGGCCTTCAGCCGTCGAGCTGTAGGACCGGAGTTCAGAAGGGGGGCCTGGCTCGGTCACCACCATGGGCATCTCAGCCCGGAGGTGCGAGAGCCACAGGCCAGGGGGGAGAAATGGGGTCACAGGAGGGGACAAAATGAGGAGGGCTTGTCGCACACACAAGCCACTTTCGCGAGGCATTTCAAGTGGATGTGACCTGCGCTTGCGACTGTTCCGGCTGGTTCTGTGAGGCTTCGACACTTGGCAGGCTGTGGGCACGGTCAGTTCAGTGTGACCTGGTATTTCTGCAGAAGCACCCCCCCATCTGAGTCCCCTAAACGGTATCTGAGACCCAGGGCTCCAGACACCCGGCCAGACCCCGGCAGCTGAACGACGACAGCCGCGGAGCCGGAGGCCAGGGCCGTACGGAGCACTCTGTCGGCGTGGCAGCGGGCGCCGGGCCGGTCTGCGCCAGCACCACACGCTGTAAGTGGCCGCAGAAGGACACAGTGGTGCAAGCCCAGGTGCCGGAGCTTTCTTTGGGGTCAGAGAAAACATGGCTTCTTCTCTTTTCCCTCCCACTGTGGACCCTGAAACTTTCCTAGAACCCCGTTTTCCAAGCATTTCCTTCCCAGCACCACGTGAGGAACTCGGCCTCTTTCTCTGGCTCTGCGGTTTCTGTAGCCCATGTCCCACCGCCACCCCTCCCGCCGACAGCCCCAACCTCGGAGACCTCAGGAGGCGCCGTGGCCTGTCCGGTGACCTGCGGACACAGGGAGGGGAACGCAGACGAGCAACAGGCAGACACTGCCCGCCTTGGCCAGGAAGGGCTCACGGCAACCCGTGTGGGACGGACAGGAGCGGCCCAGGGAGAGCAGTCATCCCTGCTACAAGGGACACGAGACAGAATCTGAGTGTGCGCACTGGTTCCAGAGCTGACAAGGCGATATCTGCCATAACCGTGCAAGTCCCTCGCGCCTGTGTGCAAAGGGCACACAACACACAACGTGTGTAGGGAAAAAACTAAAAACGAAAGGAAGACACCACAGCAAGAGCTGCTGTCTTTGTTAGTAGAACCACAAGTAATTTCCTCATTTATCTTCTTTTCTTACTAATCATCGGTTTATCTTCTCATGAAAAAAACTCACACTCTTACAGAGGAACACCACGCATCCAACGCGGTGCACGGAGTCCCCTCCCTGTCTGCCTGGCCCGCGCCCACCTGTCTGTCTGTCTGTCTGTCAGAGAGGACAGGCAGACGTCCCTGCTGAGCTGCCTGCTCCGACACATCCCCGCTCTGTGGCGGTCCGCTCTCCCGCGCTCTCCCACCGCCCGCGGTACGTCCCGCGCTCCTGCCCAGCGCGCGCCCTCGGCGGATGGCAGCTCCGCGGAGCGCAGCGCGCCCGTGTCCCGTCCCCCAGCGTGGAGAGCCCGCCGCGTCTACAAGGGAACCGGGCACACAGCCCGGCTTCCGTCCCGTTCCATGCAACGTTCAAGGCTCTGAAACGCGCCAGGGCTGCGCCGAGGCCGGCGCCCGGCTATGCCACCCGAGACGCGAATTACCTCTTTGGGTTTCCGCGGCCAGTCCTTGTCGTCCGCGGGAACCGCGCCCTCGACCTCCTCGCCGAGGCCCGCGCAGCCGGCGTAGGGCACCGTGCGCCAGTCCCGGGGCGAGTTGGCGGTGCTGGCGATTTTGGACTCCGTGGCGCTGTTCTCCTCCGTCAGGGACCGGGAGGACGGCCTGGCGAAGAGGCTCTTCTTCAGGGCCTGGACGCGCAGGCTCGCGCTGTTGCTGCCGCTGGCGTCCGAGCAGCCCCAGTCGCTGCCGTCCAGCCGGGGCCCGCGGGGGCCGTGCGCGCGGCAGGGCCGGGGCGAGGCGCTGTCGTCGGACGCCGCCTCGCTGGTCGAGGAGTTCGGGTCGGCCCGCGCGCGCCCCTTCTCCGGCTGCTGCATCCGCTGGTCCAGCTGGCTCAGCTTGCCCAGCACCTGCGAGATCTCCTCGCGCACGCCCGACAGCGACTCGAGCTTCCTCTCGATCTCGCCCACCCTGAGCACCAGCCGGCACACGCTGCTCTTCAGCTCCTCCTCCGCGCGCCGGCTGCCCTTCTCGCCTTGGCCACCGGGGCCCCCGCCGGCGATCTTGCTTAAGCTGTGCTCCGGGGAACTGTCACAGTCCGACTTGTGAAGCTGGGACAGGGACCCCGTGCTGTTGTAGCAGGAGGACGGCATCACGCCCGTGGAGCCGCTGATGCTCATGTCGTCGAGAAATCGGAAGATGTCGCTGATGTCGTCGCTGACGATCTCCGAGTCGTCGTCCGAGTGCTTCAGGGCGCGCCTGTCGCTGTACTTGCCCTGCGCGGGCGCGCACAGCTCCCTGCCCGTCCTGGGCTCGCGCGCGCGCGGCTCGGTCTGGGTCCCCACGCTGCTGGTGTCCGCGCTGAGCCGCCCAACGCCGCCGCCCACGCTCTTGTCCTTGAACTTTCGGACGGGTTCGTGCTTCTCCAGGTCGACCGGGGACGAGCGGTCTTCAGCTTGGAGCCCGTTCGGTTCCGCGTAGCCGACGGGCAGAAGCGCGGGCGGGTCCTGGGGCGCGCGGTAAGCGGGGCGCCTGTCGGGGGCGGGGAAGCCGGGGCTCGCGTAGCGCAGCTGCTCCCCCGAGGGGTCCCTGCTGAAAAAGGAGCGCTCGAAGTCGGGGGCCTCCTCCGCGTTCAGGCTCCAGCTCTTGACCGGCCAGGGGCTCTGCTTGCCGGGCCGCCCGGGGCAGCGCCGGGCCTCGCGGGCGCCCGGCGCGGGCGTGGGGCCGAAGTACGTGGACGCCTGCAGGTCGTCGAGGCTCTCGTGCTTCGCGCGCCTCCCCGCGCGGCCCGGGCTCAGGTACCGGCCGTGGCAGGGCGTCTCGAAGCTGCGGCTGCAGGGGGGCGGCTCGCGCTGCTCCCTGCGGCCCGCGGGCTCCCCGCGCTCGGCCTCGGCCTGGCTGGCGGGGCCCGCCGCGCCCGGGGACACGGCCCCCCGGCGGCGGAAGTCCTCTTTGAAGACGGCCCTCTTCTGGACACAGGACGGGGCGGCGAACGGCTCCTCGCGGGGAGCCAGGCCGTCCCCGAGGCCCTGGGCGGGCAGGGAGTCCTGGTCCGAGCCGGCCTCGGCCCCCGCGCTCATGGGGAAGTAGGTCCTCTGCATCTCGCAGGGCTGCAGCCGGTCCAGCGAGGCCGCGCGGCTCTTGGCGCCCTGGCCCAGCCCCAGCAGGAAGCCGGGCTCGC